ACTAGCCTTGCCTGGCTTGATCCCGCTTGATCTGGCTCCATTCCGCATGATCTGGCTTGCATCCCAGGCTTAAAATCAGATCTGACCTAGTCCGGCTCAGTGGCCCCTTGATTGGGCTTAAAAGCCTGTCTGATGACGACCTCCCAGGAGTTGCTTCGTAAAAAGTTCAGGGACACAGTGGATCCGCAGGTGTCCCCGAGCCAGACTTGGCGCCCTGAGACAATCACGACCAGCCGGTTCGCCCCAAGCTTCGGGCCTCCAGATGCCCGTCTCGGGCCCCGTGTCCTGCGAAAGACGTGCCGCGACGGAAAAGGTATCCCAGGGATGGGGTCGACGGCACCGGGGGGCCAGAAAGATCACGGTGCTAGTTCAGAGACACCGCATCATAAGGACGATCTTTTTTAAGCGTGTACCATTTGCCTCTCGGCCAATCCTTCCCCTCAGCCAAGAATCATGGCCTTTCAACTTCGGGGTCAGTTTGTGGGTCCCAGGGCCCTGCGTCCTTGCCGCGTACCACTGTGATCTGGGCGCGCGGTATCGGACGTCTGGGTCCTGAAGCGTCTGGGGCCCCCGGGGCCCCTCGGCCCAGGAGGTCCCCCAAGTCTTGGCATCGCTCGGACGTGTGCATTTCTTCTTCGGCGAGGACCATCGAGGAACATCCTTGATCACTTGGCAAAAAAAAAACACACGCCCGAGACCGAACAAAAACACAGGGAATGGACGTCCGAGCGATGGCCAGAAGCCGGCTCCGCCGAGGAGTGACCCTTCGCTTCGGGCTGCAGGGGGTCCGGCCGCCACCGGCCTGCACGCCTGGAGCCGCGCACCCGAGGCCGCTCTTGCCCATGGCCACCCTTGCGTCTATCAGGAGGGAAAGAAACACACAGACACAATTAACCGTCGACTCCCCAGAAAACATGGGAAAATATGGGAAGTGGGGGGGAAGACAAAAACCAAGAAAATACGAGAAAATATGGGGAATCCTTTGATTTGTGTATATTCATTTGTGTGTCCCAGGCCCGCTTCACAAAGGTCGCTCTTGCCCATGGCCACCCTTGCGTCTATCCGACCAAAGAAGAGGGGGGGGATGTCGGGCGGGGCTGCGGCACGTTGGCGGGTCCTGCTCATTACCTTCCTCGTCTTCTGCTTTGAGAGGGTTTCGACGACAGGCGTTCCGGCTGCAGTTCTGAGGTGCCGGAGGCAGGCAGCTCCGAAGGATCAGCAGCAATCATATGGCGCTGACTGTTGGCGGCATTGGCCACGTTCGACGTGGAAATATCTCGACCCAGAGCCTTCCGGATCGCTTTGAGAGGGCCGCCAGTGCCCGGCACATCTTCCAGAGCCGCCTGATCTCAGAGATCCCCGATGTGGCCTGGTCCGAGTTGTCCATGTCCTGGCCTCGTCTTCGGACGCGGCACGGCCGCGGTGATGTGGGGGCGCTCGGCAATGGTGCAGCAATTTTGGCTCGCTCCAGCTCAGGCAAGAGCGCTCCCCCCTGCACCGTTCGGGCCGGGCGAAAGGGGGGGATTGGAAAGGGGGGGGTTACAAAATTTGCTGCATGCAGCTGGTTTCGGCCTCACCGAGGGGCCCATTGCTCGATACATGGCCGCCTCCGGCGCCGGGAGGCGCCGGGCAAATCAGCTACATGAGCTGATTCTCGAACCCCCCCCCTTTGCTGTCACCTTTCGCCGGACCCGAACCGCTGGCCTCTCCGTCGATGGTCCTCGGGACGGGGGTTAGCCCCGTGCGGGGCCGAGCCGGGCTGCGCCCCCCGCGGGCCTGCCCCCCGCGGGCTGCGCCCCCCCCTTCCCTCCCCCCTCCCGCCCCTCCCCTTGGCATCGCTCGGACGTGTGCATTTCTCCTTCGGCGAGGACCATCGAGGAGCATCCTTGAACATTTGGCGAGAAAGCCACGCACGAGACCGAACAAAAACACGGGCAATGGACGTCCGAGCGGTGGCCAGCGTCGCGCCGCGTCGTCTCCCTGACCTCTGCCGCTGGGCTCTTCTCGCGTTGGCGAAAGAGAGAGTCTACAGAGAAGGTTCGTGCCGCGTCGACGCGGCGGCGACCCCGCCGCGGGTGGTCAGGATTGAGCGCCGCCAGCGGCCCAGACGATCCGCCCAGATGAAACGATTTGGCGATCGAAAAGCCGCCGATCGCTCAAGGCTACACGAGCCACGCGGTGCCAGCTATCAGCGCCAGGGCCGTCTCGCCACGAGCCTGCCGTACCCCGTCCAGCTCCACCGCGTGCGTCGCATGGAAGGGCCTCGGTGGACAAGCACACCGTGGCGCTGACACCCGTACTGATGACCATCGATCTCGGCGCCGTGCTGTCCGCGCTCCGCGCGGAGATGCCGGGCGAATCGCGCAGCCGCTCCCCGCCCGGGGCGGGCGCCGCCAGGCCGGGCGCTCTTGCATCGCGGGCGGCGGACGCCGCCATGGCCCACCGCGCTCGCCTGGGCTACTCGGCGCCCAGGCAGTGGGAAGACAGCGACAGCGCCTAAGCCTGCCCAGGCGTAGTCCCCGTGGCGCCCTTCTGGTTTCAGACCCCCCCGGTTCCCACTGGGGCGGTGGCTCTAGCGGGGCCTCCGTAGCCAGCCAACCTGGAAACCATTCTGACACCACACCGCCACTTCGGGAACCACGGCCGACGTCGGTTATGGTGACCTGGGCAGCAAGTCGCTGTTTTGCCACCAGGCAGTCCAAGTTCCGCGTAGGCGCCGTGCTGCGCTTCGTGCGTCCCGACGGGTCGGAGGGCACCATCTCGGAGGAGGGCCAGTCGAGACATCGGCAGCGCTGCCTGGCGCTTCTCGTCCTGTTCCTCACCTGGGGCTGCTCGTCGCCACGGCCGGATCCGCGTCGAGAGACGGTCAGGATGGACCCCGGGAGGGTTGCCGTGTACCGATCTTGAGGTCATTTGGGCTGGGCGGGAGCGCCGCCTATCTCTGCGGGGCTCAAGGGGCGGGGGTCAGTGCACACGGGGGTCAGCTGGGCCGCCAGATCTTGCAAGATCCTGCAGAGCCAGGGCCGCACTGAGCCGGATTAGCGGGCAGGACCCTGCAGGATGCTGCAGGATCTTGCAGGGCCTGGTTGGCCTTGTTTGCGTTGACCCAGGTCATTGCGTCCCCGATGTCTCAGCTGGCCCTCCTTCGAACCATCTCAGCGGTGAACGCCGAGCCCCACGACGCGAACATACGCGGGGCGATCTGCGCGGAGCGCGCGGCGCTCTGCCAGTTCCAGCGTGACGAGGCTGGGTGCGGCGCCAAGATCTGCCGCGTGGTTTGCGTGACGGATTCCCCCCAGCTGGGAGGCGGCTGGGGGGTCACGAGCGGCGAACAATTTCTCTGGGCACAGCAAAAAATCACAACCACACTTAAGCTTAAGTCGGGCCCGTCCCTCTACAGGAGGAATATTCAAAAATTGAAAAAATGTAGTAATCCAATAGCCCTTATAACGGCGACGATGGAACACAGTGCCGGGGAACTGCTTTGAACATCACCAGTCGTTCAAAGCAGTGCCCCGGCACTGCTTTGAACGATGCGGAAATGCGATCAGCAGGAGCCTTCGTCTGTTCCTTCTCCTCTTCTCGTCGCTGTATGCTCGTCCTTGTCCTCCCTCCTCCCCCGTTCCCTCTCTAATTAATTACCTCGTTCTCCCAGTCTCACGCGCACTCTTCCTCCCCCCTCTCCTCCTCCTCTTCCCGCTTCTCCTCCTCGTCCTCCTCCTCCTCCGCCTCCTCCCCCTCATTTGTGTTATTTCTCCGTCCTTGTCCTCCTGTCCCCGTTCTCCTTCTCCCTCTCCTCCTCCTCCTCCTCCTCGTCGTCGTCGTCCTCCTCCTCTTCCTCCTCCTCCTCCTCCTCCTCCTCTTCCTCCTCCTCCTCCTCCTCCTCCTCCTCCTCACCTTCTTCCTCCTCCTCCTCCTCCCCCTTTTCCTCTCCCTCCTCCTCCTCCTCCTCCTCCTCCCCCTTCCCCCTCTTCCTCCTCTGCTATCACTCCTCCATAATTCCTGTCCGCCCCTCCCCTTCACTGATCTTCCTCTTCGTCATCATCATCCCTTTCGTCGCACGCCTCTTAATCCTCAATCGGTTCCCAATCTTCTCGACTTTCTTGTCATCCGCGTCCTTGGCTGTTGGAGGGGCCTCAGGAATTCTCAGGGCTCTTGTGTTGCACGCGAAGTCACACCTCCCAGGAACGCATCATCCTCCTCACATTCACCCTCCTCCTCCTCATCCTCCTCCTCCATGCACGTTCGGCTCAAGCCCGCGCCGACGGTAGGTTTCACGGCGGTTGGGCGGGCTCGCGCCCGCCACCGCGGCCTGCAGTCGGGGCAGAGATGCGTGCAGGGTGGGATGACAAAGCGGAAGAGGAAACACGGGCCGCAGTTGCGGATTCTTCAAAGAGCAGCGGAGGCGGTTGGGGAACAAGTGGGGGTTGGGGCGGCCGCAGTGGCGGATGCGGCGGCGGAGGTGACCGCAGTGGCGGCTGGGGCGGCGGAGATTCTCTTGGCGGATGGAGAGGAAAAGCGCAGGATGGCGGCGACGGAAGTGACCGCAGTCGCGGATGGGAGGGCGGCGGATGGGGCGGCAACGGATGCGAGGGTTGGGGAATGGAGGGCACCCGCTGGTGGGACGACGAGGGTGGCTGGTGGAATGCATGGGAAGGTGGCCGCTCGAGTGCCTCGGCAGGTTCTCCTGCCGCGGAGCCCGCGGCCGCAACAGCGGCGGGCAAAGGAGGCGGTCCCCTGCTTCCCCCAGGGCGCGAAGAACAAGGCGCAGTTGCGCTGTTTCAAATTGTGCGCTATGAGCCGCTGCCAATTTTCAAGTTGGAATTCTTCGAGAACTTCAGGGCGAACTGGAACGGCAATTATAAGCAGCACAACGCGGCCTTGAAGTGGTTCCGAGACGAGTTCGAAGACCGAGAAAACCCTTTCGGCAGCCGCACGCCCGTCTTCGGAGGTACCGCAGTTGCGGAGGAAATTTCGAAGATCCTTAAGTACCGCGCAAAGGGGAAGGCGCAGGACAACAGGGATTGGGACTGGGACCACACTGTCAAAGTGCCGTGGTCTTGGCTGGAGATGGTCGCGCAGAAGGATGGACCTACAATGCTGCGCGTCGTGTGCGGCCCTGACAATGACCGCAGTCGCGGGTTGGTCCGCTGCGAGTGCCGCCCGTGCCCTAGCAGTCTCGACAACATGAGGCACACGAAAGGGTTGGACAGAGGACAGGCGCAAAGAATCCCTCTGCCCCAGTGGGATTTCGTCCTCATCCGCGACGACGGCTCGGGCATTCGCGTCCACCCATCCTGGTCTAGCCCGATGTTCAACACGTATGAGGTGGAGCCGCACTCGCATCCCGTGCGGGGCCCGAGGGCAGGTCTCGGCAAGAGCGATGGCCACGGAACGTTCACGTTCTGGAAGATGCTGCACGCCCATCCGAATCCTGGGCGGTTCGACGCGAGCACGGGGGCGCATCTGCAACCGCGGTGGTCCGCGCAGCCTTGACACCGCAGTTGCGGGATTGCGCAGCCATGGAACCGCAGTTGCGGAAACCGATCGCGTGACGCCGCGCTCGTTTGACTCACTATGCGCGCTTTCGGCCGCAGTTGCGGCGCTGCCTTCTAGCGACTTCATACAGCTTGGCCGCAGTTGCGGCGCTCCCACGACTGACCGCTGTTATTAGGTGCTTCGGGCGCGCATCACCTCCGTTGAAGCACTCGTGACGTTAATTAGCGCGGCCGCAGTTGCGGAGACAGGTACTTAAACAGATGGATCCGCAGTTGTTCGTCGTCCTCGTATCCCCTTCCCCGTCGTCCTCGTCGCAGTCTCCTCCCTCCGCCTTTCCTCCTCGTCGCAGTTCCTTCCGTTGGCCGTAATTAGCCCGCCTCCGTTGGCCGAGTCATTTCCCGTCGTCCTCGTCGCTTTCCCCCCCGAGGGCCGCAGTTGCGGACTTTGTTGATTCCTCCTCCTCCGTTTCTTGCCCGTCATCCTCGTCGCAGTCCCCTTGCTCCTTTCACCCTCGTCTGAGCTCTTAGCGCCATCCTCTTCCGTCGCGTCCTCTCCATCCTCCTCTTCGCCTTCCTCGTCCTCATCCCCGCCGTCTCCCTCGTTGTCCTTCCTCTCCCAAGCCGGCCGCAGTTCCCCCGTCGGACGGGGGCCGCGCGCGGCCACGCCATGGACCCAGGTCGCAAAGCCGAGGTCGACAAGCGGTTCGCCGAGCTGAAGCAGCAACTGCGGGAAAGGCTCGGCGTGCAAGGGGCTGCCGCGGATGCCGCAGTCGCGGAGCCGACGGGGGACCGCAGTAGCGGAAGCCCCGAGCGACCGCCGCGCGAGGCCTCCCCGCAGTCGTCTAGCTCCTCGCGGTCGGCCATCGAATATCGGCCGCCGCAGCCGATAAGCGCTGCGAGTGGGAGCTCTGCTGGTGGGAGGCGCGAAGAGGCGCAGTTGCGCAGGGCGCACTTGACCCCCAAGGCAAACTGGGGGCCACGGGCGCAGACGCCGACGAAGCAGCAGGACCAACCAGCAGTGACGGGAGCCGCCACCGAGACCGCAGTTGCGGGGGTGGCCGGCGAGCCAGGTGCCGCGCGCGGCTCATCTGGGAGCAGCGCGCCCTCGGCCGTGCTGCTCGCAGCCGAGTCCAAACGAGGCGCCCAACCCGCAGACGAGGCCGCCTCCCAGGAGAAAGCCGCCGAGACAACCGCCTCGGCCGATTCGCGGCCGAGGAAAAGGCCGCCTCCCACGGAAGACTCGCCGCTGTCAGAACCGCAGTCGCGGGGTCGCGCGGGGCCTCCGTCGGAACCGCAGTTGCGGGAAGCTGCGGGAGCACCGCGGAAGAAGCAGCGGACCAGGTCCCCTCCAGGGATAAACTACTTTGGGGAACGCCCCAAGTGGAACGAAGGATTCCTTCGTACAGCAGACGGCAATCGGGTTCCGCCCACCATCGCTTTGGTGTTCAACGTGGTGGTCATCACGAAGGTGGCAACAAAGGAAGATGTCTTCAGGTGCATCTTGCACCAAACTGCGGCGGTCGTCTTCGTCGTGTGGGACCCCGAGCTGTTCCGCACGGGGAACGTCGAAGGCGCTTGCAGCTACGACGTTCCCGTTGGATCAAGGAGTAGAATCGACACGCCTGTCACTATGAAAAAAGCTCGAGGAGCCTTATGGACGACGGTTCCCTGTTTGAGAGACGGGCCTGGTTGCTCGTTGGCCCACGCACATTTCAATCGCAGAGACCGCAGTTGAGGGTCATGTTGGCCGTGGGGCACACCACAGCCGTCGTGATCCTGAGCTTTTTTTTTTTTTTCTTTTCTCTTTTTCTTTTTTTTCTTTATTTTTTTTGTTTTTTTTTTTTTTTTTTTTCTTTCTTTTTTTTTATTTTTTTTTTTTTTCTTTTTTTATTTTTTTTTTTTTTGTTTTTTTTTTGTTTTTTTTTCGCCTGAAGGGCTCCGAGATGAATCCTGCCGCGGTGATCCGTTTTGCCGTCGTGTCCAGACACGCAGTCACCGAACG